TGGAGTAATTTAAATATAATTTTTACATAGTTCAGCAGAATCAGTCAATCTAATCACTTCATCCAGAACTTCAGAAATTTCAATAGAATCAGCCGATTCATCCCATTTCAATGATACCACAATTCCAAGTCACTTTTATCAGAATTTCATAGTGTCACTTGAGTAAAAGAAGATGATAAAATTAAATAATGATAGGGAAAAGAAACATTATGAAAAAACATCAATTTAATGAGAGTTACGTTATTAAGTGTGACACTACTTATAAATGAATTATTATAGTGACCTACTACTGCGAAATTCTATATGCAGTATATTACATTTGAACTTAATGTATGCATTCACGTAGGATATATTATATTGAAAACTCAAGGTAGTCATAAAGGGAGTGATAATGCACTAACGTTAATTAATGGAACGTGACTTGGTAAAGTTAATTTTTTTAACGGAGTAAGGTTATGTTAGTCTTTAAAACAAGTTAGTACTACATTTTAATAAGAAGGTACAAACTTGAGTGCATAAAAAGTATTGACACAAATCAAGGATATTAACCTATATTCACAATTATAATGTTTTTAGATATAAAAGAGCATGCAAATTATATTACATGTAAAGTTGTTGTACTAAATACAAATATATTATCTTATTAATTAGGGCATTATTATTCAATTAAAACTAGTATAGTACCCGTGCGATGCACGGGAAAAAATATTTTTCATATTAAAAAATAAATTATTGAAACATTGTGTTTGTCTTATATTATTATGAATGTTTTAAAATTTCTTTATAAATTCTGAAAAAAGTTTCCAAGTATCTTGATAATGTACACATCATAGAGAAAAAATAGATTTTCACAAAAATATCTCAACATTAGATAAGCATTGCATGTACTTTCTCAGCCTTACGTACATATGTCTAACTTGATATTTATCTTAGATTAGATGAAATAATATTAGACCATTGACATGTATATAGACTATATAAACTAAAAAATAATATCGATTCACATACCCAATTTTAGTAATAAATACCTCGTGTACATTTTTAAATATGAAAAATTTATTCATAAGATAATATTCTAAGCAGATAATTCAAAAACAAAAAAAACACAAACTTTACATGCATCAATGGATATACGGAGTATATAAAAAGACATGCATACTTCCAACCTGACCCTCACAATACTAATTTTCTTTTCCAAAACAGAGTATCATCATGAAATCTCATTTGCAATAAAGCTACGTAGTACTACATATAAAAATTGTTCCATAATCATATACTTCGTAAAAAGTAAAATAATTACATAATTGGACCATCCTAAAATCAAATCTACAACATACGTACCTAAATTAATAAACCAATCGGTTGAATGGTGATGATGACTCTTCCCCTTCGGTCACTCTCCCAAACAACACCGGTGACCGGAAAATACACTTCTTGGCCAGCAGAAGCTAGAAGCTTATAGGATTAAAGCATTCGCCTCAGCTCCTTACCAAACTCCAATGGCTACTGAAAGTATGAAAAGCTGTGCCGCTTTCCCTGACCCATCGAATCTATCGATGACTAACACCTTATGTTGTTCTCCGATTTTTTCCTTACCCAGCCGTGATTTTAACATTCTGCCCCTTGTTTATCACTTCAACAACTGAATTTTTCCGCCGTCGTCCAAAACACGAGTGACTGAAACATGAGTTACAAAGTATCGTCACTCCGCATTTTTTTCCTTTTGCAAGATCAATCCAGTGCTTACTTCATGAGTTTTAATTTGTGAGACCACAACAGAAACTCAAAATTATAATTAACCCATGCTTCTCGAATTAATAAGTCTCAAGAGTCCATATTCCTGATCACCACAAGTCCACAACACGAATGATCTCCTTTTTATGATATTTAATGACATCGAATTACAAAACCCAATGTGCTAATTTATTACTGCAGTATGCAGATGCATCAAAGTTGCTTAAATTGCTTAATGTCGCAGCATATAAATAATGAGTTGAGTGGGTTTAAACCGCTATTAAGAAATGCCATGTTTTTTTTGAAAGAGATCTGCCATTTTAATTTAAGGACGTGCATGTTTACATGAAACTGATCCACTATTGCACTTTGTACGGCCTTGAATTGCCACGTCGTTGCTTCAGCGAATAGCCAGGGTATTTTGACCGTGCAGTTGTGAGAGAATTTGTATTTAATCATATTTTGACACGTGTCACTTTTAATGGCCAAATTTATATTGGTTCTCACGATCATGCTTTTATGTATATATAGATAGTAAAATATGAAACGAAATATGTTGAGGCATAAAAGAAATAATATATTTAAAAAAAATCTTGTTATAGGACAATTAAGGTGCCATAAAAGTTGCTTATCAATTATTACCTCCGTCTCGAAAAAATCCGTTACATTAATTTTTCTTTGTCAAAATAATATGTTGATTCGTGACGCGATAATATGATACATGTGTTGTATACTTGTATATATTATCATTATTCATTGAACCTCGCTTCTAAATTGATCATCATGGTATATTACTCTCGTATTTAAAACTTTGTTACACTTTCCTATTTGGGATCTATTTAAAAGTTTGTTACACTTTTCATTTTTGGTAAATTTTTCCTTTAAAAAGTACCCAATTACCCTTAATTTTTTTGTACATCGTATCTTCTTTTTCTTACTTTTTCACATTCTCTTCTACTTTTTCAACATTATTCATTATCCTTACTAATCTCCCCTTAATTATTGTGTCAAGAACTGACGTGCACTTTGTCGTAGTGTGCACTCAAAATAATAATACAATACAACACTTATACGTAGTATAGCGTAGTAAGGTTCGTATCCACAGGGAAAGGAATATTTCTCTTTTTAATTAACTAGTAACAAAGGGGGTTTTTAGATTTGATTTGATTTAATTAACACTAAGATGAATGACTTAAATGAGTTTAATTAATGAGAAGAAGACTTGGCTTTGCTTTTATCCACTTAATGAAATGTTCGTCGATCTCGGTTATATCTTTAACTATCTTCCTCTCGAATACTCAATCGAGGAGTATATCCAGTTCATCGAGGGTAGTTATTAATAACGAGAAGCGTTCATTAATAAAACTTACTATCGAGTCAATATAGAACAAGCGCCGTATATTAAATTGATAGTAGCAATAAACTTAAGATGAAAACGATTGAGATTGATAACCTCAACACAAGCGGTTTATTGGTTTAATCAATATAATTAATTCCCCTTAGATTATTAACCATGAGATGCATGCATTAATAATCCAAGTTTACTACCATGAAAGGACCGAATTAATAACAAGCGTATTAATCGACCGATTCTAGTATTAATTAATATATGAAACAAAACTAGTTGATCCTTTAAGTAATGTTCAAAATATTAATATGAAATATGAATAGGAATTAATTAATACTCAAGAAAGAATATTAAAGAAGATGAATCCTACTATAGTTAATATCAAGATGTTAACTAATTGTCATCTTAGTAACACTCCCCGATATTAACGTAGAGGAAGAAATAACTATTACTATAACTAATGTCAAGATGTTAACTAATTGTCATCTTAGTAACATTCCCCAACATTGATATAGAAATAGTATTTAAAGAAAGAATTAATATTCAAGGAAGAAGATTAAAGATAATAACTCACAACTTACAAATTCATTAAGCTTCAAAGGAGCAAAACCAAGATGGAAGAGTTTAGCTCCTCATTTGGAGACTAAACATGCTATAAAAATATAAAAGAAATACTATTCTAAACTGAGCTTAAGAGTATGGAAGAAGGGATTATTATTTGTGAAGGAAAATGGGGCTATTTATAGGTGTTTTTCAACACCTTTAGCCGGGTACCCGACCGGGTAAAGTGCCCACCCGACCGGGTGCATGTCAAAATCAAATATCTTCCACGTTCTGGCGATCTCCGGCACGTTCTGGTGTTCCGGGTCAAGTCGGACCCGACCGGGTGAAATACCTCACCCGACCGGGTGATGTAATTTCCTGAGCAGTTTCGCATTTAAATTTCTCACCCGACCGGGTGCAATACCTCACCCGACCGGGTGATTGTCCTGGGCAGCCAAGAATTATTTTTCTTCACATTCAAAGTCTTCCTTTCCAACACCATAAATCCTAACTCTACTTTACAACTTACAAATGAGAACTAAAATACAATTACAACTAAAATCACACAAATGTTTATAAACTAAATAAAACGATAAACAATACACACAAATCAAACATAAAAACATACACTTATGCACTACTAATTAGTGCATATCAAATACCCCCACACTTGAACCTTTACTCGTCTCGAGTAAACCAAATCCAGCCCAAGAAGTCCCTAAAATGGCAAGAGTATCAACACCAACATCCACGTGTGTTTTTAGAACAACACGAAAAAAATATCCCCAAAAATATAAGAGTAAAAGGGGGGTCTTCAACTCCATATTTCTTATCAACCTCAGTTTTTTTTATTACCCTTAGGATCCTGCAGAAATAAAAGAAAGTACTTTCTCTCATTCTCTCATTTTGCCTAGGTGCCCTTTCGGGTTTTCATCCCAGCTTCCCACATTTTTTTGTTTTAATCCTCACAACTCACTCTTTTTTTTTTTTGCTTTATTTTTGCTTAAGTTGCCTTTTCAGGTTTTCAACTTAACAAGCTTTATTTTCTTTTTCTTTTTTCTTTTCTTCTTTTTTTTTTTAAAATAACTCAAGCATACAGAGTATGAATGTGAGTTTTCCATGAAATTCTCCCCCCAAGCTAATCAAAGCACTGTCCCTAGTGCTTGTGTCCGAGATGTCCAAGAGAATGAATCTCTTTGCCTTTTTTGGTGTCATTTCTTTTTGGTTGAGGAAATTTCGGGTTTTGTTGTTTGTGGAGTAAGGGGATTTGGATTTTTAGGATTTTTTTTTTTGGGGGGGGGGGGGGGTGTAGTAGTGAAGAGGGTGATGAAGAGATGAGGGAGGTGGGTTTATTTGATGGATTTGGTGTAGAATTGGAGAGGATTCAAATATATGGAGTTTGAAAATGGTGTTTTGGCGGAGTTTGGTTCGTGTTTGCAGAAGAGGAAGTGAGGAAGAGGGTGGCCAGCTCAGTCGGTGAAATAATTCGCGACGACCCGGCCGGGTGGGGTAAGTTGACCCGGTCGGGCCTAACTCCCGCTTATCCAGAATGTTTTTAATGAACATGCCCGGCCGGGTGTATTGAAGTTACCCGGTCGGGTATGTTCATTTTTCCTCTATTCCACAACTGCCTCGCCCGGGTGATTCGGCCGGGTGCTGTGTTTTATGAAGGGGCCCGACCGGGTTGGGTTTTATACCGGGCCGGGTTCAATCCCCAGGCCTCTTTTTTTTTTTTTTTTTTTTTGAAGTGTAAACTTAAACTAGAATAAAAAGTAAACGTACCTTACATGGGTTGCCTCCCAAGAAGCGCCTTATTTAACGTCGCTGCACGACGCCATCATTGTGTTCAGTCATTTAAACTTGGATCGTGATAGTTTATCTTCTTCACACTTTCACTCCTAGGACCTTCATAGGAATGATAAATTTCTCGACTCTTCACTTTGGAAATCTTTCCAGGATCAAATATCCAGATTTTTATTGATTCATGTGGTGGGAGGAAGGGGAAGAAATTATCGTTTAGCATGGTGAATGAGAAGTTTTTCGATCCCTCAATTTTGAAGGAGATTTCAGAAATGCCATTGTCCTTTTCAAGTTTATGAGTTTCTCTTAAAGAGTCCAGGGATGATGGAGATACCTCAAAGGATGATAAGGTCAGATATTGGACCTTGAAACTCGGTTCATTCTCTTCTTTGACTAGCTGGAACTCCGTGTTTCTTTCTTCTTGTATTTCTTCTGGATTTGGGATCTCCTTTTGCATTTCCTTCTCAATTGTCACTGTGATTGCAAAAGTTTGCTGTTTAGGATCACATTCTATTTGAGAGGAAAGTTCTCCTGAATCCCTTGCTTCGAGCCCACTCACGGCTCCGGCTATTTGACTCACTTGAGTTTCCAAGTTTAAAATTTTAGACTTGGTCTCATTTTGGAATTGCACCATATTGTTTTGCATGATGGTCATGTTGGTAGTAAGAGTCCGAAGCATGTCCTCCGTAGACATGTTGGGGAATGGATCATACATCATGTGAGGTACTTTCCTTTGGAAGCCAACATAATCAAAATTCTCAAGGTATTCTTGTTGGAGTTTTGGGCAAAAATCCGTAAGATGTCCGTGAGACATGCAAATGTTGCATGTTTTGGCATCTTGAGCTTCTGAGCTTAAGATATATTCCTTTATTAGAGAAGTCAAGAAGGAAATTTGACTCTCTAAGGATGATGTGTTGGTATCCATATACTCATAACTCATGTAAGCTCAGAAAATAGAAGAGTAAGATTTTTTTTTTGTTTTGTTTTTTTTTTTATTGTTTTTGATTTTTATGAGATAAAATAAAAAGAAAAATAATTGCCTTTCCCCGGCAACGGCGCCAAATTTGACGTGCACTTTGTCGTAGTGTGCACTCAAAATAATAATACAATACAACACTTATACGTAGTATAGCGTAGTAAGGTTCGTATCCACAGGGAAAGGAATATTTCTCTTTTTAATTAACTAGTAACAAAGGGGGTTTTTAGATTTGATTTGATTTAATTAACACTAAGATGAATGACTTAAATGAGTTTAATTAATGAGAAGAAGACTTGGCTTTGCTTTTATCCACTTAATGAAATGTTCGTCGATCTCGGTTATATCTTTAACTATCTTCCTCTCGAATACTCAATCGAGGAGTATATCCAGTTCATCGAGGGTAGTTATTAATAACGAGAAGCGTTCATTAATAAAACTTACTATCGAGTCAATATAGAACAAGCGCCGTATATTAAATTGATAGTAGCAATAAACTTAAGATGAAAACGATTGAGATTGATAACCTCAACACAAGCGGTTTATTGGTTTAATCAATATAATTAATTCCCCTTAGATTATTAACCATGAGATGCATGCATTAATAATCCAAGTTTACTACCATGAAAGAACCGAATTAATAACAAGCGTATTAATCGACCGATTCTAGTATTAATTAATATATGAAACAAAACTAGTTGATCCTTTAAGTAATGTTCAAAATATTAATATGAAATATGAATAGGAATTAATTAATACTCAAGAAAGAATATTAAAGAAGATGAATCCTACTATAGTTAATATCAAGATGTTAACTAATTGTCATCTTAGTAACACTCCCCGATATTAACGTAGAGGAAGAAATAACTATTACTATAACTAATGTCAAGATGTTAACTAATTGTCATCTTAGTAACATTCCCCAACATTGATATAGAAATAGTATTTAAAGAAAGAATTAATATTCAAGGAAGAAGATTAAAGATAATAACTCACAACTTACAAATTCATTAAGCTTCAAAGGAGCAAAACCAAGATGGAAGAGTTTAGCTCCTCATTTGGAGACTAAACATGCTATAAAAATATAAAAGAAATACTATTCTAAACTGAGCTTAAGAGTATGGAAGAAGGGATTATTATTTGTGAAGGAAAATGGGGCTATTTATAGGTGTTTTTCAACACCTTTAGCCGGGTACCCGACCGGGTAAAGTGCCCACCCGACCGGGTGCATGTCAAAATCAAATATCTTCCACGTTCTGGCGATCTCCGGCACGTTCTGGTGTTCCGGGTCAAGTCGGACCCGACCGGGTGAAATACCTCACCCGACCGGGTGATGTAATTTCCTGAGCAGTTTCGCATTTAAATTTCTCACCCGACCGGGTGCAATACCTCACCCGACCGGGTGATTGTCCTGGGCAGCCAAGAATTATTTTTCTTCACATTCAAAGTCTTCCTTTCCAACACCATAAATCCTAACTCTACTTTACAACTTACAAATGAGAACTAAAATACAATTACAACTAAAATCACACAAATGTTTATAAACTAAATAAAACGATAAACAATACACACAAATCAAACATAAAAACATACACTTATGCACTACTAATTAGTGCATATCAAGAACTAATGTAGTGATCTTTTGAATACGGACGGAGCATATCACTATATTTAAACCACCCAACGATTGTGGATGCACTCATGCACCAGGACGTAAAATTCCTTTCCATTTTTCTTATCTTGTTTTATATAAAAGGTGTTTGTAGGATATGTATTGACTTCTATGAAAGCTAAAATGTATCTATATCATATTGTAATAACAAAACTTTGATACTTGTTATAATATACGGAGTAATTACTATAGAATTAAAATGGGGTTTTTATTTGAATATTATTAATTTTGAACCAATTACCCAAAAAGTGACCGCTTTTAAAAGGGGCAAAAAAGTGATCAAGAAAGTCATATATTTGAAAAAACATAGTGTCAGCCAGATTTGTATGTCACTGTAGCCGCCGCCCGTGTCACTATAGCCGCCGCCCGTGTCACTATAGCCGCCGCCCGTGTCACTGTAGCCACCGCCCGTGTCACTGTAACCACCGCCCGTGTCACTATAGCCACCGCCCGTGTCACTTTAACCATCACCCGTGTCACTTTAACCATCACCTGTGTCACTTTAACCACTACCCGTGTCACTATCGCCACCACCACACCTCCACTGCCGCCGCCCTTCTCCGGCGGCCATAGTGACACCGCCGCCCATGCTCATCCCTATGCCCAGCATCCCAAACCAGTGAAGCGCACTGCCCCCCTGCAGCAGTCGCGGCAACCACTCCTGCCGGCCACCCCCACCGCCCAGTAACCAAGTCTACCCAACCGCCGCTGACCACCACCACCACCACCGACCACCGACCACCGCCTCACCCCGACTTGACTCCCCAGCTCCCAGCCCAGCCAACCTCCTAACCTCTTCATCTCTTCTACCCAGAGCAACTCCGGCACCCTCCGGCCACCCCTCCCAGCCCCAACTTTGACAGCCCAACTTAGCCCCAACCACCGGCTAATGAAAGCCTAGCCGCCCCCCAAAATCTGGTCGTTTGCTTGTCACCATATCAGATCTGAAGGTTTACGACGGGGAGGAGAGTCCGACGGTGATAAAGCAGTGAGGTGAGGCACAGAGGCGCCATCCGAGCTCGTCGTAATAGGCTGTCAAATCTATGCTCCTCCTAATCGGATGACAAAGCTCTTCGCCGGATCTACGAAAATCGTAGCCAGACGATGAAGCTTGCCGGATTGACGAGCCTTGCCACCAGATCGATAAAGTTCGTGAAGGTTCCGGTTCATCTTCACAAATTCGCCGACGTGGAGTTGCTGATTAATCTGCAGAAATTGGCTGCTGCTGGGGAGCTGGTTCAATTTGGTGGAGACGGCCAGATGCGCGTTGGAGAAGACTGCCGAGGGAGAGGGGTTGTAGTCACTTTTTTGTGAAGTGTTAAAAAGTTTATATATTGGTCTATTAAAACCTCAGTGGTCATATTTTGGCCATTATGTCATTAAAATGATGAAATAACACTATATTTTTCGAGAGAAATGAATCATTATGTTAATTGATTAAAATGTTGGCCATTCAATTACTTTTAAGAAACACATAATTTTGAAAACGACTTTCAAATATAATTGTGAGAGCCTGTAAAATTAGCATTGAAAATTAATTACATGCATGAATGCCACTATGCGAGACTGATCTCATGAAAGGCAACATGATACAATTAGGGAAATCAATTCAAACCAAACAAATCAACATCATTCTGTACTACGTGATGTTTAGAACCAGCTAACCCATATAATATTCCGACAATATTAATAATTTCATACTACGTATTGAACTTCCAAAATCAGCCCTAAAAATATACGGAGTATTTATATACACATAAAGACACGTGTCTTCTAAATATCATCTCTAACCTACTTTTCACCGCCTCAATCCATCTTTCTTAATTCCAATTTCTACTACTTTGTTCTTCTGTTTACTTTGTTTTCCATGAATTGTGTGACGGGCAAAACTAAGTTGGGAAGCAAAAGCTGTATATATTATCAGAATGAACATCTTGTTACTATTCAAAGATCACCCACGACAGTCTTGCTGCTACATCCATAAGAACATAGAAAACATATCATGACACATGAGAAAGGCTTAAAGGGCTATTATAGTATTATCCACTTTACCATAGATTTCTTTGAGTCTCACCTTTCATTTAGTAGGTTCCTACTATTCCCTCGCACATTATAACTTACAACAAGTCTAGGCAGTGCAGGTTCTACTCATGCCTGAAAACAATCAATACTGCAGTACAGTTATCTTTGCAGTGGCGCTCACGGACTGCCTCTCGCACAAGGCGGCGGCTCACTTGTGAAGCAGGCAATCCTTCCTGTCAAACAACTGCCAAAGTTAGGATACATACAGGAAACAAATTCTCATTACATCTTAGACAAGTGTGTGCATATAGCTATTTAACTTGAAATAAATGCAAAAGGCCTGCAAACCTTCAGTAAGTTTTGAACAAATCGAACAGCATCACTGGGCACAAAAACCTAAGAAGTTTCCAACGAGAATCAGTTAGTGTAAAAATGATTCAGAGAATTTCTAGATGTTCTTGCCGCTTATAACAACACTCTATGAGATACAACAAACAAAACATACCCCCCACAATCCATCACAGCCCAGAATCATGAAATGATCTCTTTCAGAAAGGTCAAATGAGTGGATATCTGGGGTTGCAACAACACCGACCTGGAATGTAGAGAGTTTGAGATGGACACTGAAACTCAATAAGATATTTTTCTTCTTGAGAAGGAAAATGCAGCTCTTTTTCATTTGAGTAAGCAAAAAAAAAGTTGGAGAAGTAATTTATGCAAAGAGTGTTAAAGGGTATAAGACAAGTAAACCTTTTTAAACTGATGGTCTCCAAATGCCCTGGAAACTTCAAGCCGGCCTTGTAATCTTCCATTTGAACTCACAGATCCACCCGCCTAAAGAATTGCATTGTGTGATGATTACTTCCACACATTCTGATTTATTTTTTTTACTTTCCTTTTTGGTTCTATCCAAAATAATGTCCATTTCCCTAAGTTATACCCCCATGGCCCCACTAACTTCTTAATTATTCCTATTCATCCATCTCTTACTCCCAACTAGTTGAGCTCGGTGAGACGGTGACCAAATATTTACAGTGCCAACTAATATACTCTCCCCGTCCCATTTTACCTGTCTTACTTTCTTTTTTGGGTTGTCCCAAAATAAGTGTCACCTTTCCTTTTTTGGAAAGAAATATGTGGTTCACAACATTTCATTTTACTATACTCAAATCTCAGCCACAACTTTTACCTTTTCAACCACTTTGTTAAAAATTGTGCCAAAACCAAAGGAGACACATAAAATGGGACAGAAGTAGTAATTAACACTAAATTCATCGCATAAAAATGGTGTGAATGTTTTACACCATAAGTTGATCTAGCCACAACCTTCTTCTGAAGGAATAATGACATGGAGCTTGAAACCATCTCATTATAGGCCACTTCCACTTGCGTAAAGAAAATATCAAGAGACGTGTATTAAATAAGTTGACAAATCAGTTAAATCGCAGTCCTATCATAGAAAACCATTTCTCCATTACACACTCGACAAATGATTTATATATATCAGCTAAGAGTACGATAGAGTTGGATATATTAACAAAACAGTTCAGGAATATAGAAAAGTACCTAGAGCAACAACCAGCATGCTGAGAGTAATTGACTATGTAGTCAAATTTTAACCAAACAGCCCATAAAAGCAGAATAGTGCTGTGAGCTGATCTGATTCTACTTTTCTAGGTTTATATTAGTCATCCTTCAGACCACATGCTCATATGTAGTTTTTTTTTTTTGAAAGAATGCTCATATGTAGGTCAGATATTTTAGAAAGAAAAACATTCTAAAGTAGTAAAGCCTAAACTACATTTTGGCTATTCTCTGCAGATCACCAGGTCAGATATGTACTTTAATATGAACGTTCATTACAGAATAGATTTATAACAAAAATACACTTTGCAGAAGTGCAAGATTGCAGAAACAAATAGAGAATCATATATTTATTTATTGAGTGCATTCAGAGAAGTGTTTCTGCCACTTCTAGTCCTCCAAGTATTGTGTAAGTGACACTTAAGGTGCTAGACTTTAAGTTTTTCCACTTTTAGTCCTTTGAATATTGTGAGAGAGATGCTTTTGGTCATCGAATTTGAATTTTTCCACATGTAGTCCTAACTATTGTAAACGTCACAATTTTGGTTCTTCAACTATTATCTACTTTATCAAAAAGGTATCGTGGAAGGACTAAGAGTGTCAATATTATAAAATTTTGACTAAACATGGAAAGTTTCAAAGTCTATACTGAAAGTGGAAAATAGTTGAAGGTTATCAAAGGCTACAATAGTTGAAGGGATAAAAGTGGAAAATTCAAAGTCTATACTGAAAGTGTCACTCACATGATAGTTAGAATACTAAAAGTGGCAAAAACACTTCAGAAAATGATACAGTATAATACTGACTTCAAAATGGAAAAAATTATTCTTTTCCTTGTTTATTCCCAAGAGGAAATAAAATCCTTTGTTTGGTTGATGTCATTTATCTCTTCTTTGGAGACGTTTTCCTAAACTTTGAGAAACAATTCTTCTAATGCCCCCATGGGCCCATCTCCCCCACCCACACCGGTGCATTGCATTAGGATTGCTTCAAAAGGAAAATAGGATATTTAAATACATTAGAACAAAGGCATATTCAGAATGCTCACTTTCTGAATGCGAGCCCGTTCTTGAGGATAAATGGCTTTATGTTCCCTTGTCAAAACAATGGCCTTTAATAGAGTTGAACCATCATTTGGAATGTCAGATTGTATTGACCTAGCTAAAACTGCCTTTGCATCCCCAATATTAGCAACAAAAACCTACATAGACATGGTGGGTTTCTCAAATAACTAACGACATGTTGCTACAAAAATGAGCAGGGACCATAAGTAAGCAATTTTAGTAAAACAGACTCTGCAACCACTTTACAATTTATTCAATTACAAATCAATGGTGAAACAAATTATTGAAAATTTGCAACCATCATGCCCGTAAAAACTTGCAGATTATTACGTGTATAGAGCCTAACATATTTTTCACACTCAAACATTAGATGTGCGCATTGTTGCAAAATACTTAGAAAGTGAATTCATAGTCTATTCCAATATATGAAGTGTTACGAGAAAGGCATGCAGAAGCACGCATAGGCGGCATAGCTAGTACACTATTGAAAAGGAGAACAACTCAGAGCTTACCATTTGTCCTAATACCCAAATACAAACAGCCGTAGCACCATCTTGCCAACCCCCTAACAAGAATGTACAAGAACAAGCAAACAATTAAATTTATTCTCCTTGACAATAACGTACAAATAAATCTACCCGAGGTCAAAATTTCCAAGAATACAAAGAATAAAATGTTTTAGAGTAAGTATGTATACCTGCTATACTTTCATTGAGAAGAGTTTCATCTGTACTTTTAAACCCTAAAATGTTCAAGAATAAGATGAAAACCACAAAACTATGAGGAATACTAATCATTACAAGTCTTTCTTTGGCATGAAATTTTTTAAAGCATACCCTCAAGTATTGCTCTTTTTGCAGCTTTAACATCTAGCTGCATATTCCACAAAAATGTAAGAGTTTTGCACACACACAGAATGGAAATCATCACTGATTCTTAACTAAACCCAAACAAGACATAGCAAACACACCAACTCACGTGGTAAGCCAGCTAAAAGAACATTGCCATGCAAGTGCTTCCGCGCATAATCAGCAGCTAATCGACCTCCATGGCCATCATATATTGCAAAATGAGCACATCTGTTGGGAAAATAAACAATACAAGTGGGAAAAAACTCAGAATTCAAGAGGGCACTATTTCACTCATGGATATCAACTATGGGTATTGTATTTGCATTTCAAAATTACAACTTCATACCCAAGAAATACATACTCCCTCCGTCCCATTTTACCTGTCTTACTTTCATTTTTTGGTTGTCCCAAAATAAGTGCCATATTTCCCTTTTTGGAAAGAAATATGTGGTTCACAACATTTCACTTTACTATACTCAAATCTCAACCACAACTTTTACTTTTTCAATCACTTTATTTAAAATTGTGCCAAAACCAAAGGAGACACACAAAATGGGACGGAGGTAGTATAAAACAATTCTGAAGGTTAAGAAACCCAGGACTGCATAAATCATCATCATATGATATTGTAAGAAAAGACTTCATAGTGACATTTAGGAACCAAGAAAGGGATATGAGTAAATAGTTAAAGTACTGATAATAAGGGATTCTAATGTAGATCGAGGAAGTCATCATTATAGTAATATAACAGTAACTATAGTAAAAATAAAAGACTTCTTCTGCCCATATTAGAAAAGCGCCTTACATATTTTATCCTATACTCCTCTCCAAACTACAGTGGAGAAACACAAAAAACAGTTCCATTAAAAACATGCAATATTCACATTAAAAAGCCTACATTTTTTTAATAGTTTGCAATAAACATGTGGTGACACCATATTGGCACCATCACCATGCCATGTGAGCCATTTTTTAAAACAGATTTTAACATTTTTGTAGTTATTTTTGGGCTTTGGACCTGATCATTAATTAACCAAACAGCCCACTCATATGGCTTTGATTACTAATTATCTAATTATTAAGCAATCAGCCCATAATACTAATAAAACCCCCTAATAAGTAGTGCTAGAGAAAGTTGTGCAACCAACGGAAAGCCAAGGTAAAAAAGCTGATCAAAAGGGTATTCAAAAGATGCGGGTATTCAAATATTTTAATCTATTTAACCTATTTTCACTTCACATGTTTTTTTAATGTGGCTATTCAATTTTTTACTCATCTTTTGGTGGTTGAATTATAGATTTATACTACCTCCGTCCCACTATGTTTGGGACAAAAGTGATATTGTGTGATTGGTATTGAATCGAGAAAGTGTGAATAAAGTAAGAATGAATTGTAAGTTTGTAACCACTCAAATATTACCAAATATGGTATGAGACAAACTTAATGGGACAGACGAAAAAGGTAAAACGGGACAAAGTTAGGGGAACGGAGTGAGTAGTGTCTATGGTTCATATATTTAGCATTCATTTTTGAGTCATATGGTGTGCCATAAACAGTCAAAGACTCACCATTTTTAGGCTTGAGAATATGATGGAATAAAACAAAATGACTCATGAAACTGTCTGCGCTTCTTTGTTATGTAGTGGGAGACAATCTATGCAATTTTTGACGCGATTTTCGTCATTGGTCATCCGGGAACAGTGTGTATGTGTTTTAGTACAGGGGCAAGGCTGCGTACATCTGACCCCTCTGACCTCACCATAAATGGGAGTCTTTACGCCACTAGGGTAATGTTGTTGTTGTGGTGGTGCGCCATTGCCATGGAAAAATGACTTGGCGGCACGATTGTCGCCATACGCCAGGACAACCAATGGCACTATGGGGGCAGCTGCCCCCTACCCCCACAACCTAGCCCTTATATATCTCTAAATTTTATAGGAAGTCGTACAAAATAAGAGTTCAACATAGGAAAAATTCTAAAATAGGATTAAGATTTTTTTTTCTTCCTAAATATGGAATTTATGTAATCCTATTAAAAGAATAAAAGGATAAAAAATCACTAAACTTTGTTATGTTTAACTTCTACTTAGGTAATTTTCTCAAATTTTATCTACAATTGCATCTTTGGACACAGTTAATATAAATTGATCTTCTTTTGATACATACTCGTACATATATCTTACACTAAGTCTAATCAAACAATATTAATTATGTGATTTGTTGTTTGTGAAACAAGTGACTGAGTTCTAAGGTAAGTTCGCCTCCACTCACAATTTTTTTTGGATACACCTCTGGACAACTATGCAAAAAACTATACTGACTATTGAAAGCACATCAGATTATCAGAAGAAAGCAAATTCACTTTCCAGGAGTTCAGATATTGCTCCCCACCCCCTAGAATACAATTCCATGGATATAGTAAACTTAAGTAAACCTTACTCAAGTGCACATAAAAGAATAGGACTAATTCTCGAAATAGGAGTAAAATATTTGAAAATTTCAAATATGACTGTCGTGTTTTTATTCTCTAAATAGGAGTAATTACTGCCAAATTTGGAAAATACGGCCAAGTTTAAAGTCTGGTACTGCCAAAACATGGCTGTAATTACTCCTATTTATGGAATAAAAATATAATAGTCCTATTTTGGAATAAACAAACGTTTTTTGTCCTATTTAGGCAATTCCCCAAAAGAATATAGTTTGAATAATTATTAGGTTAACCTTGCTGAACTAGTTTAGGTTAGGTTCTCAAAACTTACTTCAAACCAAAAACCTCTGATTTTAAGGTTCTCCAAAGTGAAACTAGGTTCTAAAACGGGTTCATTTTCATGAAATAGTAAAAAAGGAGGCGAGTCCAGTAAACCTGGAAGAGCCTACGTTCACTCCAAAACAAACTGAGGGTAAAATGCATACAATTCATATACGAAGTAAAATACGAAGTATGTGTTAAAAAACATGTTAAGAGCTGAAAGCTTTCCAGGAAAATAAAATCGCGTGCCAGGAATCCAGACCTTAACTCCAGTCCCACCCTAGTACTGAATTTCATAAATTCCAAAAACAATAAGAGTGAAGTGTTTTTTAGTAGCACGAATAAGAGAGTCAAACTTTGTATGTCAACCATACGCGCTCAAAATACTAGAAACCTCAATTTTCCCGGTGTACCATTGCTGGCGTCAGGAAGAACAACCCAAGCATCCTCCATGGTGTGCCTTGAACCTTTATCCTCCGCCGCATCGGCTTCTATCTTGAAACAGCTTTTGCTATTAGCTTCAACTTCAAATTCAACCAAATGCGAGGCTTCTGGTTTTATCTTCTTTGTATTCTCATCGGTGTGATCGAAACTGCCTTCCCGCTTGGACTTGTTGGTTGAAATGCTTGATACTCTGTTTGAAGCATTTGCATTGGAATTTGAATTTGAACTATCCGCCATTAAAAACGATGGGGAGTTTTAGAAAGTCGGAAGGATAAATGAAATAAAATAGGATGGAATGGTGTATTTTTTTAAGGATGTTTGGGAGGTTAGAGGAGGAAGGGAGGGGAAGCGGAAGAAACTTTTTTTTTTTGGGTTTGAATTAATTATTATTAGAGAAAACTGTCAAATAGGTCCTCGAACTTTCATAAAAAGGTCAATTAGGTCCTTCTATAGGAGGTTCTGTCCGGCCGTCGCGATTTGGGGAAGTTCCCGGTGGAATTTTTTGATGAAATTTTTTGAGCATCTTATTCACCAAGTCTAGTTTACGCATACCAAATTTCAGCTAAAAATTCAATTGGGAACACATTCAAATTAATTCTTGAAGATAACTGCGCATTTTTGCGTTCTCGAATTAATTTGAATGCGCTCCCGATTAAATTTTTAGCTGAAATTTGGTATGAGTAAACTAGACTCGATGAATAAGATTCTCAAAAAAATTCATCAAAAAATTCCACCGGGAACCGGCCCAAATCGCGACGACCGGACAGAGTCTCCTATAGAAGGACTTAATTGACTTTTTTATGAAAGTTCGAGGACCTATTTGACAATTTCCCTTATTATTAAAATAGCTTCACATTCTTCCCCCGGATCGAACAACATGAGGCGGGATGTATCCTGGAACACCTCCATAATTTATTAAAATATACTCTGTAGTTAAGAGTACATGCGTTGAAAGTACAAGAGAAATAGACCAAAAAGAAGAAAAAATACATTAACAATTGAAATTTTTGGAAGGTATTACAACTGTCGTAGATATTGCTCTGTTGTATCTATTGTGGAACTTAATTGCCTTCTAGAGATAGGCTTGGTAGAAAGTTCGATCTAGATGCTGAAGTTTAAACCGTTTCAAAGTGTCTGCGAGTTTATGTGGAGAGTCAAACCCCACGTCTATTGGGTAGACAACGAAATTTGTCTCGTATTGGGGTTTTTGGGACTGGCTTCTGGTGATAATGGGATGTGAAGTATAGCCCGCTTGGTACTATTGTTGTTCATCCTCTTTGTCTTCGTTTGATGTGGTGTTTGATATCGTGTTTCTGCTTTTTCTTCTTGTTACTTGAGTAAATCCGTTAAGTAGTTCCTCTTTAACTTGATGATTGTCTGAATGACCTGAAATTGAAAAGGTTAGTAAAAAAATAGCTTCACATATATTTGTATATCGAATTAAAATAGTTAAATTCATACTCATTTTAAAATTAAGGGGAAAATAATAAAAAATATCCCAAACTTTGAAGGGATGTGAGGCAAGCATCCCAAACTTGCATATGTCATTTAAATACCCCAAACTTTATATAAAAAGTTATTTTCACACCATTGTCATGTATTGTTTGTTTCAAAATGTAAATTTATCCAGTTAATTGCAAAATTTAAAACAACAAAATTAAAAGTGTTGCAATTATATAGATTGGGAGTGAAAATATTTATTTCGCAATGGAAGTTTAGAATGCTAATTGTGTCTTCATGAATTCTAAAATATATTAAATTATGCAATTAACAACATAAATTTATATTTTTGAAAGATATAATACCTGGTTATGGTGCTAAAATAACATTTTATATAAAGTTTGAGGTATTTTAATTACATATGCAAGTTTGAGGTGTTCACCCCACACCTCTTCAAAGTTTGAGATATTTTAATTATTTTTCCCTAAAATTAAACTAAAATTATTATTTATTTTGTCATTCTTGTAAAACCTTCAAATTGGGGGAACTCTAGGAGTACACTTAGGGTGTGTTTGCGTTTGCTTTTGCTTTTTAAAAGTGATTTTTTAAGAGATTATTTAAAAAGTAATTATTTAAAAAGTAATTTGTAGTAAAAGTAGGTAGTGTTTGTAAATAAAAGTGATTTTAATTAAAGGATAGAAGTTGAAGTGTTTGATAATAAAGTGATTTTTGATGGAATGTTTTGTGTAAGTACACAATTGCCCTTTTGCTTCAATAAATGTGCCTAGAATAGATGAGTTCATCTTTCACGCACATATAGCATAACCTGTGGAGATGAAGTTTAGATGAAAAAATTGGACTTCTAGTTTATCCTAAAACCCAAAACGGAGCATCCTGAATCACTTTACTCCAGTGCAAGTTCTTCTATTCCTCATTTGTTTTTACCTTTTAGGATCGAGCATCTGAGGAAAATTTCCACTTAGAATGATTATGGATTATTATACGTCTCGATGGATATTTTACGTTTTGGAACTTTCAATTTAAAGATTAATCTGTCCATACCTCGAGTGGATGAGTTAAATAATTGAAAATTCAGAACTCCATTTCATACAAACCTTGACCTGAGCGAATGAACAACAACGGATCTTCAATTGGAATGCCGGATTCCAACCTTGCTTAGCTGTGGCGCAGGTTCAGGAAGAAGACATGGAGTATTTGAATTTTATGGATGAGAAGAATCTTCTTTCTTCATTGATGAGTGAGTGATACGAGGGGGTGACTGAGGAAGGACATTAGCGGAATATACACCTCCATCTTTTAAATGAAATGTTCCCCAAGAAGCAGATAAAAGCAACCCAATGCTGCCTTCTAGCTTTTCGCGTAAATCTGATTAATATAAGCCAAAGCTGCATTCGGCAAAATCAGTGTTCTAAAAGGCCCAGAAAGGCGCCGCCTAGGCAGGCCTAGGCCCAAGGCGTCACCCATACGCCCCGCTTACCAAGTATGCGTGACCAAATGCGGCCATTAAAGAGTAAAATTTTAACTATAAAGGCTGCACAGTGACGAAATAGATCATGCGCGGCCAACTATTTAGGTATCAGCGGGCTGGCTTTTTATATAGCATGTTGGAAGGAACAAATTCTCCTCTCCTTCCGGTGTGGGAATGTGTGATGCAACAAAATACTCCATAAGAAACAATTCCTTCTAAAGCTACTAATGAACGAGAAAAGATTCCTGGTTGCAAGGCAAATAATACTTGGCCGACAAGCATTTCTCAACTTTTTAAGAGTACCTCATAAATAATACAGAGTGATGCTTAGTGAACAACATTTTGTTGCTATTTTTATGTAATCATTATTGCTATATAAAAACACAATAATATTTATTATTATGGTATAAATGTATAATCATAAGTACTATTATCACAGGATTGTAGATTATTATATACGAGTATTCATTATTTCTATTGTTATAAAATAATTATTTTATAATCATTATTAGAGTTACAATAATTATAAGATCATCATTAATTATATAATAATTATTACTCTTTATATAAACAAAGTCGAGGCCTACTTGGGAGTTTTTAGATGAAGTATTTTTTCTAGAAAAAGCTGATTAAACTTAAAGAAACAATTTCAGAATCATTTCATACAGGAAATTTAATGAGTAGTAAAACGCAATAATATATAACGTGATCTTTTTCATATATATTTAAATATTATGTACATTGACCAAAATAAAACTTAAGTTCAATCTTGAATAATGTTTTTTAAATATCTATTCGTTTCTATCATTTATCACTATTTTTTTTTTTTTTTTTTTTTTTATAAATAATAATTATTATTATTAAATATAACAACGCAAACATACATGTAGAGAGGGGGACCAAACCAAAACCTCTCAAAATGAGCCACAACCCAAACAACAGGATGGACCAAACTAGTTATGAAACAACATAGGGAAAAGACCCCGAGTCCAATTGAATTGCCCCTCGCAGCTCGTTGGGCATTTGATGCCCAGGTCGCCAGCAAAAACCATTCCGAATTGCCAGGCCAGCGACCAGCATTGCTGATTTATTCACTTGGGTTGGTATTAGCCCAAAACCCGACACGGTTATTTAGATAATATTTAAATAAAGTAGTTCAAGTATATTGTAAGAAATAATTTTGATAGATTTATAACATAATGGGGCTGGTGTTGATAACTATGATGTTATAAACGTATGAAATTTAATATTTAATGGTTAATTTGTCATTAAATTTTTTAATTATTTTCTAAAATAGAAATGAGAACTTTTTATAAAGGAGTATATGACATTTATATAGGAGTATAGGACATCCAAAAAGGAAAGTAAGAATATTTATATAGGACAGAGGAATAAAGGAGTAGTAATTATCAACAAAATTTTAAAACGCCTTATCACGCCTAGGCTTCGCCTATTCCCGCCTAGGCTTCAAAGGCTTGAGGCTTGGCCTTGCCGCCTTGCCACGCCTCACGCCTTTTAGAACACTGCGGCAAACACCCATTTTGACTTTTTTTAATCAAAAAGCTCAAAAGTGCTTCTAAGAAGCTCTCGCAAACACAGCCTTAGAGTCAGCTACCTCATAGAAAACAACCTGACTCGCTAAATCTGAAACGATGAAATTTAAACCTACAATGATCGGAACCGAAACTCTGCCTATCAAAAGAACTCCAGCCGAAATAAAAACACAACCAAAACAACATGCAATTCAAAATAAAAACACATCAAAATAAAAAGAATTAAAATAGAGTTCACCTGTTCTCTTACAAACCCTATATTCTCCAGCACTCCATGAAGGCGGTTCACGAGGGGGGCGAGTCAACAATAATGTTGCTTCTTCCTCACCCGACCTCTTATTCATCATGTTCTCTGTCAATTCTCTAGCACTCGAATCCAGATCTGTTCTCTGAGCTTCATTGGATGATGCCATCCTCTCACTATTGTTGTCTCTGCATGTTGTTCGCACCAAGAAACTCGTCGCAGGAGAAACCCCAACCCGAAGAGCCGCTCAATCGAATGAGATCAGCAGAGAAGCTAAAACCCTAACTAGAGGGAGAAGCGGCCGCTAGGGTAGCCCAAAACCTAACTTAAAAAGCCTTGCTTAACTTTTTGCTTTAGAAACGCTACCAAGAGGGATTTCAAATGTGGATTCTGCTAAAAGTTAATCATTTTAACCCAAAAGCAAAATGCATGGCTAGGGATGTTTCCATTTTTTTTCCTGAACAACAACTTCAATGATAATTATAATCATTAAATTATATAGCAAACCCAAAATACCCTCATCCCTTCATCTACTTCTTGTGTCCAAACTCTACCACAATGTTAGCAAATTGTCCAATCATTCT